CGGTGCTCATTATAATCGTGCAATAATGTGCTTTTTAAATCTTAAAAGATTTTAGTCCCCCCCTCCCATTCCTAGTAGTGGTATATCCCACACTCTTTCCAAGGGGCGGGGCTGCTTGGCAGCAGTAGCAGCGTGTGGCTGGACCCGCTGCCCACATCGCACATCGCGGGGTAAGATACACTCACACAGACACAGTTTAACTTACACAAGTTACAACACATCCCATTTACTGTTACAACAAGCCCCAGGCCCAGGCTGATAATATAAACTGTCTGCAACATTTCTCCTGCATTGTTCAAAAGCCTACTCAATTACGAGTGCTGCTAAGCTAAAAGCTAATTTTTAAGCTCAGAGTTTAGTGATAGTCAGAGAGGACAGGAGAGAAAGAAGAGGGAGAGGACAGGACAAGAGCAGTCAGTGGCGGAGCGGCTCGTAGCTAATGGGTACCTGTCTGTAGGCTCTCCACCTGTCAGTGAGACAAACATGAAAGACGTGCAGTCTAACTGACAAGGAGCGGTCATTACGCGCGACTATTACGCACGGTTGTGGCGGAGCGGCTCGTAGCTATGGGTACCTGTCTGTAGGCTCTCCATCTGTCAATGAGACAAACATGAAAGACGTGCAGTCTAACAGACGAGGAGCGGTCATTACGCACGACTATTACGCACGGTTGTGACGGAGCAGCTCGTAGCTAATGGGTACTGTCTGTAGGCTCTCCACCTGTGAGTGAGACAAACATGAAAGACGTGCAGTCTAACCGACGAGGAGCGGTCATTACGCGTGACTATTACGCACGGTTGTGAGGTGCGCAGCGGCAGATCTCACAGCACACTGTTTATAAACCAGTTAACCAGTTTAATTGCAGGAAATGTTCAGTTGTTAAGCCATTTCTCATAAGTATAGACATTCACTCTGCCTTTTGGAGAGATAGAAAGAAGATTAAAGCGTCAAATTGCGGTAGAAGATGCTGTAGACAGGCTACAACTTTTTTTCCTTGTCCCCCCCTGGAATTATTCTCTAAAATTTTACTGTTTATTGTCCCCCCAACTATGAAATGGGATTTTCGCCCCTGCTTGGAACCCAGGAACTGTCTGAGGCTATATCCAATCTGAAGGGAGGAAAAACTCCTGGATCAGATGGGATCCCAATCGAAATATATAAAATATTTAAAACTAAATTGATACCACCACTACTTGAGATGTATCAAGAATCATTCAATAATGGAGTCCTCCCTTTCTCTCTCAATACAGCAATAATTACATTACTATTAAAACCTGGGAAGTCACCAAATCAATGTGGATTTTACAGGCCAATATCTCTTATCAATTATGATTTTAAAATACTGTGTTAAGTACTGGCTATGAAGTAGGAACTTATTTTACCTAAAATGGTTCACTCCGACCAGAATGGATTTATACAGGGAAGGCAGGGCTTTCACAACATAAGGAGAGTGCTTAACATTCTCTTTGAAAAATCTGGCCTCCCTGGCCACGCAGTCCTGTCGTTGGACACAGAGAAGGCCTTCGACAGGATAGAGTGGCCGTACCTATTTGAAGTCCTACAGAGGTTTGGCATTGGGGGAAATTTTCTCAGGTGGATTCGCCTTCTCTACCCTAACCCACAAGCTGAAATCTTAACCAATGGCTTTATATCCAATCCTTTCAAACTTAATCAAGGCACGAGACAGGGTTGTCCCTTATCTCCCGTGTTGTTCACCTTGGCTATTGAACCTCTGGCCATGGCAATTTGCAATCACAACAATATAAAAGGAGTAACGGTTGGAGATATTGAACACCACACAGCCCTGTACGCGGATGACGTTATTTTATTTTACGCCAGTTTAAAACAAACCTTACCTGCCTTACTTGATAGGCGCTTTTGGCGTCTTTTCAGGTTATAAAATAAATAATGATAAATCTGTAATAATGTTTTTGACAGAAAAAGAGAGACTCAGCCCTCCAGTTCCAACTCCATTTGTAGTGTCAAAAGAAGGGTTTACTTATCTAGGGGTTAAAATCACGCCCACTGTCAATGAAATCATCTCAGCGAACTATAACCCCCTTATGCAGTTATACAGCTTATAAATAGGTGGACAAAATTACCAATATCCTTGATTGTACACATCAATATCCTAAAAAAGACAATTTTACCTAAATACTTGTACCTCTTCCAATCGATCCCACTCTCTCCTCCATTCTCTCTCTTTCAGTCATTAAAGAAAACATTTTCAAATTTCATTTGGAACAATAAACGACCAAGGCTTTCCTTGTTATATCTGCCATATGACAGAGGTGGTTTGAAATTACCAAATCTCTTATGGTATTTCTGGGCAGCTCAGATTAGAGCAAGCATGTTTTATTTCATTAAGGACCACTCCCCAGTATGGGTAACAATTGAATCTCACTCGATCTCAATCCCTTTAAACCTGTATATGTACTCGGCAGAGAAGAAAAAAATAATTAAACAGACAAAAAAACCCTTTCTGGAGAACACAATAACAATTTGGCATAACGTTCTAGTATACATTGATGAAACACAACAACTATTGCAATTTTCACCTATTGTAACTAATTGTAATGATAACTTCCAACCAGGCAAAGCAGATCCAGGCTTTAAACTCTGGTCCACTAAAGGTATATCTAAGGTGTCTGACCTTTACAATGGATCATGCCATTTGAAGAACTTAAAACCACATATGATATCCCCACAAAGCACTTTTTCAAATATCTCCAATTACGAAGTTTTATAATGTCTAGACAGGGTAATAGTTTGGAGCTACCACTTTTATCTACACTGGAAGAAATAATTTTAAAGCATCTTGAAAACAGGGGGCAGGTGACCATATTATATAATCTATTTGTCAGCAAGTCTGCTTTAATCCCGATATTCCTGACACGTGTATTAAATGTAATCATCAGAAGGGGTCACTGTTCCATTGTATGTGGGAATGCCCTCTGATAATTGGTTTTTGGGGAAAGGTTTTGGATCTAATCAGTCATATTATTGGTAAAGACGTACCCTGTAACCCTAAAACATGCATTCTAAATATTTACCCAGATGATTTTGTCATTTCAAACAACGTAAGGTCCCTGCTGAATATTTGTTTACTTGAAGCTAAAAGGTGTATTACCCGCTCATGGAAGAATCAATCAATTGGTGGAATTGGTGGTTGAAGGGAATGTCCTTTAATTTTGCCCTTGAAAATTTAAGTTATTTCACTAAAAATAAACTGGATATGTTTTGGAAAATTTGGTATATACATATATATATATATATTTTTACAATTATTTGGAACAGAATGAGATCCAAATTGATGCTTGGAATGATGAACTGAACTGAGTGCAAATGGCTGTTTTTTTTTTCTTTTTTCTACCGATTATTCATTATTTTATTTATTTATTTTTTTCATTATGTTTGTCAATGTATTTGTCTTCTCTCGAAAAATACAATAAAGAGATGTTTTTTGTTAAAAAAAGATACATTTTCCTTTTCCAAATAGTCTTATTTCTTTCCTCAATGCTAACTGAAACAACATAAAACCAACCGACTAGTTTAATATTCGAACATCTTTTAATGTTTGCCTTTGGTGGAACCATTGTAATAAATTCTATTAAATGAGGGTAGTCCAGGCTAAATAAAGGTAAATGTAAATTAAAAGGACAGCCAGCATAGCTTTGAGGAGCAAAAAAATAATAATCCTAACAAAACTGTTAATGAACAAAACATGGCATTTTGTCCCATATAATAAAACAAATAAGAGTTAAGCAGAAAAATTATGAGAGCTAGTGGTGTGCCATAAAATTCTTGAACCAATCTCAACGTAATAGAATATAATTCATTCTACTGTATTTAACTACATGAGATAAGTTAGCTCTTGCAGACCTACTAACGCGTATAATGTCCTGCACACCCTGCCTGATAAAACCTTCTTTTTCCAGCTGTTAGGAGCAGCAACATTGTTTTTTTGTCATTTCTACTGCCAGTTCATAGCCTTTCTTTAGAGTAACAGTCAAAGAAACAAGCCAGCCTTTTACTGTAGATGTGGTCTGCAAGCTCCTTCTCCACAACACCTCCTCTGTGTTCCACTATTCCACTGTACCTCACTGTTTCTTCCTTTACCTCCCTTTATTTAAATGTACCCCTGCAGGGTGACCTGTCAATAGTTTTGTCTTTTCCCCATATGTTTTCCACCCTTGACATTTAAAATGTGATAATAACCCACCATTGTGTAGTATAATATTGAAATACCATTTTATACTTGAGAAACTATTTAATTTCAGTGCCTTATAGTAGGGTGAGTTGGAGCATTGGCTCAATTTATCTCACAGCATTTGTCAGATTTTTCCCCATAGCCACCATTTTGGAAAAAAATTGCTGGATTAGCAACTCAAGCTAATCATTAGTTAAATGATACCCATTTTTAGACCTGGATACAATTACTTGTGTCATAACAATTTTACTTGACATGCTGAAAAATTACTTTTACAAGCAAAAACAGTTTTTATGTGTAAATATGTAGCCTATGTAGTGAATGTTAACATGAATATCATAAAATATCAAGGCAGTCAAATAAACATCGGACATTTCCAAAATAATCGGGAGCTCCAAAAATATTTTTTTCCATCATGTACTCATCTGAAAGCACCCGAATAATCCAAAAAAAAAGAACATTTAAAGTCAGTTGTTCTGAGTTTTTACTTTTTTTTTTTTTTAGACTAAAACTGGATTCTTCACTCACTCTTTGTCCTCAGATGCATTTTACTTACTGTACAAGCCCTGGTTACTCCGAATTTGTGTTTTTTTTTCTTTTCTTTTTTTCTATTTAAGTGTTTGAGTTTGTCCTCCAGCGCTGTTCTTTACCTTTATGACTCCTATAGGAAATGTTGTGTCACCTCTGACATTAGAGGAGCTGCTAGGCTGTGATTGGAGGAGAGGGCGTGTTCACCGCAGGAATGTAACGCTCAGGTGGAGGGAGAAAGAGAGAGACAGAGACAGAGGGCAAGAGCAGCAGTTCGCCCACACAGCCGTGGACGGTATGACGGTGGAACAGCGGAACGCTGCCTGTGGTTCTCTGCGCTCTTTACAGGGCTCTTCTGGCGCATTTTGGACTCGTTCAGACTGAGAGGAGGATCAGAAACGAAGAGGGAAAACACAAGGAAGAACCAGTGGAGCTATCTGCTGAGGCAGATATCCATGCAGGACAGGGCACAAGTGCAATCAACTAGGCTACCTGGAGGCGAACAGACTCTTAGACACACTTCAAGGACAACGTCGAGGCCTACTTTTGGAGTAATGTTGAACACCCATGTGAATCACAGCCTGTGGGTTTTAATGTAAGAAAGAAACAGAAAAAGGAACCTCATGTCAGAAACGACTTTTATTTGCATCTGACCGTTCAGCAGAAGATGCGCCTTTTAGTGTCCCGAAAGACAAAAGTGATGTGATGCGTTTTGGGAACTGGGTTAACAGCTCTTTTGATGCACGAACTCTGCAGCTGAGAGGGAGAAAGCAAAGTTCCTTTAACGTTTTCCTTAAAAAAAAAAAGCAGAGGAATAGGACAGTACAGGAGGGAGTAGGATATGGATTGTGTGTCTGAGCCTGTTGGGATGCACTGCGCATCTGAGCTGCGACGTTTCTCACCATGATACAGGAACAAAGTGCACCTGACAACCAATGTTACATAGCTTAAGCCAGTCCACAAGGATCTACTATGTCCTCACTACAGACAAGGTAAGACTTTAAAATATGTCTCTGGCTGCCCGCAGAAAAGATTGCATGAGAACTAAACGATGGTGATTTATAAGTGTTGAACATTGATATGAGGTGGTCAAGTCTAGAGACAGGTAAAACTTTTCTTTTTTCTACTGTTTGTACTGTGATTGAGTTGCATCCCAGGAGGAAAATATGTGGTGGCCTTAAATATTTACCCAGCTGAAAAACCTTAAACTTTTTTGCAGCACAGTGAAGGATGGAAGGTGATAAACTCAAGGGACATTTGAGTTTTTCTCCCCTTAGTTGGAAGCTGTTTGTGGTGTGGTTCCCATCTTAACAAGAAGTTCAGAAAAAGTGATGATTTCTAGAAAATAAACAACAACAAAAAATAAAAACCTCCTGAGTTTTGGGTGCATGTTTGCATGTTTGCAGCATGTCATGTATTGTTTAACTTTAGTATTGAAGAAACTTCACCTGTTGTAGTTTAGATTATCCTGTATTCCAGTGTATTTTTTAGGCTTGGGTGCCTGAGGCTCCAGCCCTAAATGTTTTATTAATGGCCCTGAATCTAAATATATCAGCTGTATATATAATTCAAAAATAAGAACAGGCCTTATAATAAAACAAAAAGCCCCAATTTAATAATCTGTCTTTCCATTCATGCGTGTAAGACAGAGAACACCAGTTATCACTTTAACGTTTAGTCTTTATAGTCCACATATTCTCAATAGAACGGTTTGTATGATATCTTACGAATTATTGCTGCACAAATGACGTTACATCCTTACCATACAGTTAAGTAACTGTATGTTAAGGATAATGTCATTTGTGGGGCACTACTTAACGTAAAGTGATGGAGGTTAGGTTCAGCCAAGTAAAGTTACCATGGTTAGGTTCAGGAAAAGAAACATTGTGAGGACATACCTCAAAATGCTTCAATGTTCACTTAGAGTTCAGGGAAAACACTTGTGGAAAGTCCTGGTTTTCTCAGCTCAACATTAGGCTAATATTCAAGAGGGGTTAATAACTGCAACAGACTTAATTAATATGACAACAGTGCAACAAACACACCTAACAATCATAAAATACAGAGAAATAACTAAGCAATTTAAAATTAACACCACAGCAGCAATATTGAACTTACGCCATCAGCAACTTCTGCACCAGTGATGACTGAGTCTCTAAATGAAAACTATAACTACAAAATTAGAGCCTCAGAACTAAATTGTTTATAACATGAAGAATTCACAACACTCCCATCAGCACATTGGTCACATAATTGCAGTCTTTCAAAATATGTGAGATATGTGGGAATTTGGGTGCATTACTTTTCATACAAAAACATACAAATTTTGTGCGAAGAGCCTGTTATAGTATATATATACTGCTGGGTACTTTTAATCTATTACATACATTATCCTTTATTAGATGATTTTATTTTGTATTTTTAATCTGAGTCCTCAAAGTACTTTGTAACTTTAAGATGTAAAGAAGTAGAATGATTCAGTGGCATAAAATGGAAATTCTCAAGAACCTCAAAATTCTCTAAATTTTAATAAGAGCAGTTGCAAAATATTCTGTTTCTACTTAATACTAACAATTACTAATATTTTTTAAATCACAAGAGTGCATCCAGAAGCATAAAAATAGAGCTTGTTCATCAAAAAATTTCCTGGGGGAGGATCCAGAGAACTGGGCTAAGTCCCAGATGTTCTCAAATTCTACACACACTCCTGCTGTATTGGCCTGTAGTATGTGAAAGTTTTCTCAAGGGGCAGATGTCCTATCCAGTCTCCTGTAGGCTACCTCTTGCCAGCAGGTGACATAGTCCTCCTGCCACACAGTATCTGTGATTCCACCCATCATGCTACACTACCTTTATCTCCTAAATGTCACCGGCTATAAATACCCTGCTCATATTTGATCTAATCCCACGCCTGCTACAGAGAACACAAACGCTGAGGACTGCAGAGGGTCTGAACTCAGGTCTTGATCATTATAAATCTGTCTCTTAATATCATAAACTTCAGTTTACCTTGACCATGCCTTTTCCTCTGGATTACTCTCCTCAGTGGAAACACAATGTGCTGACATCTCTGCACTTGACCTTTTATGGGCTTCATTCGATATAATGTGTCAGGAGAAATGTACAGACTGTCTCTAGACGGATATACTAGAATACCCATGATAACCCATGAGTCCTTAGTTGCTATGGAGAAGAAGGCAGTCATATTGAAAGTGAATTGATGTAAAGTGCTGATTTTTTGATGATTCAGGTTTCAATGAGCTTCTGCTTCTGGTTACTCTTATTGGTACATAGAACAGATTTTAAATGTCTTGGAACATTTTTTTTACAGAGCCATATAACATCTCATTCAGGAACCACCATAAGGCCTCCTTAAGATTTTTTTGAAGTAGGGTTGTATGAGGCACTTGTCTTAAGTCAATGTATTACACACAGTAGATGTCAGTTGGCACACCCCCAGTTTGGAGAAGCAGTCAGGAGACCAACATAGAAGCTAAGCAATGTACTGCTCTGAATGGGGGTTGGCAACAAAATGTGTTTTAGCCAAAAAAAAAAAACAATATCAGTTTAAGCATATGCTACATTGAGAGTATTTGAACTGTTTTACCTTTCTATCAGACAGCCAGTTCCAGTGGCTTCTGTTCCCTGTTCATGCTCTTGTTAAGTCACCAGTCTCCATTGACAAAAACAGTCATTTTAGCTCGCTGAACACAGGAGCTGCTGGTCTACCACTCAGTCAGTCGTGTAGTTTGTGTTAATGTGTGACTTTGGTGAATCCAAACTAACCCTTTTAAAGGGACATTGTGTAACGTTTTCAGTTTATTGGCAAAAATCGATTCATAAATATGTCATCATTGGTGTATTATTATCTCCACCAATAATCTGACTTATTCGCGATTTGTTTGTACATTGGGCGGGTAAGTCGTTTGGGGGTTCCATAACATTTTGCCATCTTGAAAATACATCTGCCAGCAAGGGACATATAGCACTACCAGGGATTAGCCCCGCCTTCAGTGTTTTCGTTGAGAGCAAGGCCAGTGCTGCGTGACTGAGAAGCCGAAGGAGAGGAGCAAGAGACCTTCGCTACTACCCCGGCAAATTTGAAAGCCTGCACTACTGCTGCATAACAAAGTCCCACTCTTTGAGCATAATGCAGGATCATGCATATGCAGCATCACAGGAGACGGAATCCTCGTCGCCAAGAAAGTGCAAAAGGGAATCAAAAAGGCAACGTGACCGGCAAATTCAAAAAATGAGGGTTAACATTGGGGTAGCCTTTCCCAGCTGGAAAGAGCTGCTGAACAAGAAAGTTTTTAAAAGTCACTTAAGGAATATCATTGTAGTTTTAAAGGTATAAATGACTTGCACAAAGAGAGCTGGCTGAGATTACCCAGACATATCACACATAAATTACGCATATACACACAGAATAAATAATCTAAATAGTCTAGAATAGTCTAACCAATAAAACTTTACCCTAGCTTAAGATGCACTGCTCATAATAATTTATATACATCACACCCCTGCCCATGCTTTGTTTAATTGTGTAATTGCCATAGGAAGAAATTCGTTTTTGGCCCGATTTGTTCTAATATTGGGATGTCTATAACTTCGCCCCGAGGGGAGAAGCTTAAATTCCCCTGAGAGTGGGTCAGGGCAGGAACACCGATTTCCTAATTTGGCCCTGTGCCCTAGAAAAAAATATCTGCCCTAAGGCCACAGTGGCCTTGATGCCCCGCCCACACTGCTCCAGGTGATTTTGCGGTTTTCTCCTCTGCCTCTTTCCTGTCAACACGGCTTTGACACCTGCGTCTTAGGGGAAAAAAATGCAATGACAACATCAAATGAGACGATGCGTACATCACCAGTGGTGGGTTTGATTCAAGCCTCGCATGAACGGCTCGGACAGTCTATAATGACAGTTTGACACCAATCTATCACCGGCCAACCAGGAGACTTCATCAAACGCCCAGGAAGGATTGGTACCGAGACCTGGTATTAAACAACCCAAGGTAAATTTAATCAAGACTGTAATAATAGTAAGCTCCGCCATTATCAGCGTTACTTTTTAAAGTTTCGGTTTCATGTAGCCTATCATCATTCTGCAGCGGTGGAGCCATGGTGCAGATGCAGGGAATATATAACTTCAAGATCACTCTAGTTAACGACAACTACGCTTGTTACTGCGAGTAAGTGCACTAAAACCTCTGCCAGTAAAAAGCCAATACTTTATCAATACATGAGATCAGCATGTAGAAAGCCATATTTCAACCCGCTCTGTCCGCAGTCTCTCATTCACCGCTATTATGATTTATGGTTATGGTCGACACAAGCACATCGCGCTCGCGGTGCTAACAGCAAAGTGTTAAAGACAAACTAAATGAAAGCTGTCTGTATGTAGGCTAACACTTTATCTGAACATGCATCTGAGGCAGCCGACCTGCAGACAGTGAGTGTCCTCAGTAGAGGGGGGACAGAGAGCAGGATCAATGGCTGATACTGATGTCTGTGTTCTTCATGTTTAGATAATGTGACTTTCTTCACTCAGTATTGTGATGTCAGGAGGAATATTTATATTCCAGTGAAATATTATTGGGTTTTAAATAGTGACTTTGTTGTTGTAAACATGACTGTTGCTGCCATGGACTGTATAAAACTATATTCTGTGTAACTGAACTATAAGGAAAGCATCAGGAGGTGAGGTGTGTGCATGTATGTGTGTGGAGGAGAGGAGAGAGGGAGATGCTGGAAGAGAGATAGTGTGTGTTATTAGATAGTGTTAATGTCACTTATTATGCTTCTGTGCATTGATAGCTGTTTTTTGTCTGTTTCTGCATTATGTTGAGGAGAGCCATGCCTGTAAATGTATGCAAAAAAAAAAAAAGTGGATCGGTTGCTCGCTGCTAAAAATGTGGCCCATTGACATTATCTGGTTTTGAAATGTGGCCCAGTTGAAATAGTAATTTAATAGCCCTGCTGTAGTTTGTTTGTG